AACCTCCTTTTTACCATGTTTACATATATGAATAAGTTTACAAGTATAATGTACCCTCTGATAAATCAAATTAGACCTACACTGAATTTAAGCAGTGTCGTCGTTAGTTATATAAAACTACAGTTTTGTACTGTAAATACAACACAATTTCAACAAAACACTGTACAGTCTAAATAAAAATACCTTTGAAACTCTTACACTCAAAACAACGCAGATCTATACTAAACTTGGGCTAGTTTAGCCATAAATAAGCTATTAGGATAGCCTATCAGATTTCAGGATAGTAGGCCTACAATTTTAAAACATAATTTTTAAACTGATTACATAGAGGAGTACAGAGCACCAAACGTCCAACAACAAGCATACACCCTCTGCACACTGCACCCACATCACTATCACCATGGATTAAAAGGAGTAGACTCATTTTATCTATGCTATCACCTAGACCTAAAACTTGGAACTGTCTTTGGGACACATTGTACGCTTTATTCATTTTAACGATTTGAAAATTAACAGCACATTAACACAATAGGCTACCCTGAGTCAGCAGCATCTAAGTTAGGATAGCTTTTAAAAAATCGCAACCAAGCACTTGCTACTTAAGGTTAGTTCTTAACAAAATCTCCAGCCTTTGCTCGGCTTCGCTAAGTTCAAATGCCAATCTAAATAGAACTCAAAGGCTATTGCATGTTCCCATTGGATGGTGGTAGTTATCGCATTGCCAAATTTTGCCATAAAAAGGAGCTGCCTTATTCTGTTTAATAAATTAAAATACTTCAACAAAACGTACGTGAGCCTACACATTATAAGATACAACTCGCACTGCGTTTAAATCAGATGTATCTCCTTACAGGTTGAAGATGAAGAAAGGTCAAGTCAGGACCAAGAAAACATATTTGCATTAAGTTCAAATGGTTTGTGTCATTTACTACAATTTACTCGTTAATGTAAACGTATTATTCTTATATAAAGGTCTTTCAGGCATGTGCCACAGCGAAGCCTTGTTGGGACCCACGCCGCTTTAATAAAGAGGGTTTAGGTTTGCTGAGGATGCGCGGAGGAGAAAAATTCTCCGACAAGGTAGGTGGAGAGAAACAAAATAATCTAAAGTCATAGGTATATAGGTTTAAGGTCTAACATACAGAAACATAATATTGTCTAATATCTTACGCACCATCCATCCGATAATGTGTGCCAAATGAACTAAGGTTTACTAGGCTAGGCTGAAATAAAATTAAGTTATTACTAAGTTTAAGTTGTGCCTGTCTACCACATTTTTAGTAAACTATAGTTCAAACCCTTGGAAATCTGTCTGTGATGAAAATTAAAAGATACGAAGACTCAGAACTTAAAATAGCCAACCAGTAAACACCACTTGCTCGGTTATGGATATAAAAATAATGAATACTGTATTCCTAGTTCTTTAGATAGAACTAAGTACGGTACTGTACCACATTCAAATTACTAAACGAAGTATTGAATAGATTAGTCATAGCTTAGATGAAAAGTCAACTAAACTCACCGCCAATCTTTCGATACTTGGTATCGATACCGCACTGAAACAAGAATATCGATATCGAGATAATATTGAAATAAAAGTATCGACACCACATGTAAGTTAAACGAGTTAAGAACCCGAAGAACAAAAAACTTAAGTTGAAAAGCTACACAACAAAAATATTGATTGGAGCCGAACCTAAAAATAAAATAACTTGAAGTGTGGTAAAATTACAATTACTACAATTAATTACAGTGTATAACTAAGTAGGCTATAGTACCATGTATACTTGTAACCTAACCTAAAACTCCCAAGAGAAAACAAAACCATTGAACAAATACTGAAAGGTTATCATAAATAATGTGTATTGTTAACACAAGGAATGGTCTTAAAAATATTACAAAGACTTTAAGCAAATGTCCACATAAGTTAAATTATTCCTAACCCCAGTGGCGACTGAAAGTAAGGCATCGCATTAGCAAGTAGGCCTATAGGCTACACATGTGGCATTAAACAAATCGATCTTACCTCCGTAACAATGCTTGGATTGTTATAAATATAAATCACAAAGAAATATAACCGGGTGTTATAATCGAGCAAGATAGAACACTGATTTTAAAACGCACAAAACAAGCAAGGCCGAAGCGGCAAGGCAAAATGAGCAAAGCAGGTTAGGTTTGTGCACGGACTGTACCGACAGATGGCCGGCCGGCAGGGAGTGTGGCGCCAAAAACTGGCGGGAATCTATTGTGAGACGCCCATGCTGCCAACAGCACCACCGCGAAACGAAATTTCCCTCTCTCCCCTATCTAAGTCGGGCAAAAGAGATTTTGTTAATTGATTTCTCTATTGTTTTGAACCCGTAATTACTGTCATCTCCTGCAATGATTACTACTATTACTTTTAATTAGGTACAATTCCATCACATAACTTTTAGCAGTTTTTGTGGTTGAAAAGAACATCCTCCTGCACAAAAGCCGGCAGATGTTTGCAACAGATGGCAGAGGAATAAAATTACACTAAAAGAAAATGTAGAGGATGCAATAATAGTAGCAAATTTGTGTTTTGGCACTAAGGTTAAATTAGGGGAAATTGTTTCAAACATCGCTTTCTGCAATATATTTTCCACCTGATAGTTAAAACTATTGCCTTTCAAAAAATTATCCTACAACATTATGAGTAAATACCATTGTAATGTACAAAAATATAATACTATTTAACAAGTTTTGTAGGAATTCTATATACTGCAGTTTGAAAACTAATTTGAACACAATTTGAAAAATATCAAAAATACAGTAAAATATTGAACCTTTTGACATTTTATAAAGCAAAATTATAGTGATTACAGGAACAGCCCAAAAAGTACAATCAACACAAAATAAACAGCAAGTTTTGACATTAAACATGACCACTTAAATTATACCTAGGTCTACCGCTATTGTACAGGGAATGTAAAAGGTGTTTTTCATAAAATGTCATTAGTATAGTATTGAATATTTTTTTCAAATTTGATCCATAAACAAGCAGACTACAACATATTACTTTCCTCCATCAGAACATTAGAAGTTTAAACGTACAGATTTGTTTTCCCCCAGTGCCCTTTAACAAAAACGCTTCATAATACAAAATTATTTGTTTTTTAGCTCATAGGCTACATAGGCCTACATGATGATAAATTAAATGATGTCTCCGGCTCTAGGTCTTTGCCGTAAAGAAGTTGACAGGTCAGGATAATAATAAAGAATAACTTAGTAACTTAAAATACATTCTGTCAGCAAGCGACATGAATGATATAGGCTTAATAAGTTGGGCATTGTCATATTTTTAGTGGAAAAATACAAATGTAACAAACAAATTTTTGAAATAACTTAATACTAGTGTCCGCCTAACAACGTAAACAAAATTTTCATACTAGTGTCCGTTTCTTGAATTCAAGCAATTGCTAGGTATTACAGGCGTTGTTTTAAAATGAACAGTCATAATTTCTGATGACTTCAAAAGATTTGACTCAAAGATTATCGAAATACTTAAGATGTAGGCCTACATAACAGATCAATATAATCAACATTTCTTGTAAGTATCTTATAATTTTTCAAAAACTGAACTTGCTTTTTAGGGTTTTCTACAAATAGCCTTACACATAGCCGCATTAGGTTGTCAATAATATTGATTATAAGTTTTTTTTAATATTATTTCTATTTATCCTCCTTGGTGATCTTCTTTAAATTTCCTATGTTTCCATAGTTTGCAAATCGGCTCTTTCAATTAATACTAAGAAATGCAGCACAGTGTTAATTCAGTTTACTTTTTAGTATATCAATTTATCCAGGCTCTCTCGCTTTTTTCCATTGTAATATTTACGCCAAACCAAATTCAAAAAGTAAAAATTTCATTTCAACTAAGTCAGTAAATGTTTTGAAGGAAACTGTTAGCCTAAATTAGCAAACTTATTGACTGTTTACAATTGACATATGTTCTTCTCACTTGTAATTTCTAACGACAGCTGGAGTTTCATAACAATTTTTGTTTCCCATGTTAATCTTATGGAGAAACAAAAACTAAGAGGCCCAGTGCCTTACTCTCTAATTATTTCGCTAAAAAGAAAGTTTCATGCACAACTTCACGTTACGCTCTTCCCAATGACACCAAAATCATGTCAATCGGTTCAATAGTTTCGGAAGAGTAATTGTCACAAAAAACCTGCTTGCGTATTAAAAAAGTATATATAGCCTATATTTTAATCATCAGAAATATTATAAAAATTTGTTAAAACAAAAATTGGTAGGCCTATTTGAGTAACCATCGGTATAAAGCATGTATAGGCTACCACCGCTCTTCTAAAGTGCCCACGGGCCACGACTGATTGGTTGGAATAATTTAAGATGGGCGAACAGAAAAAATATAATTTAAATCCCCTAATCGCTCCACATAAGAAAAAACTAATGACATAAGTTTAGGCCTAGACTAAAAATTAAAATCTTAAAAAATATTTTTTAATAAAGACGAAGACGAGCCATAACAATATTAATATTAACTGTGACCCATTTGAGCAAGCACATCCTAAACCAGCACTTTCAATAGTAATTATCAACTCTTTGACTACATTTAAAACTAGTTAATTGCTGACCCAAACCACTTATCGGGTTTTATCTCATGACCTGTGACCTCCAATCAAAAAGACACCAAACAGTCTCCCAGCCGAGTAGATAAGAACTGTCCATTAATAACAGTGTTATTGATTTACAGAAAATACCTACTTAATGTCTCCTTAAAAACCAAGTGTAATATGTCCAATAATAGAGCTTCATTACTGGCTAGGAGCAACAGGTGTTTAGGCAGGACATAAGTTGACCTTTACAACCCAATAAGTTAGCCCTACATTGACTTAATTTTGCAGTATATAAAACATAGAGTACAAAGTATTTTAAACTAAAATGTTCCATTCCAGACAACTAGTTTGGTCAATGAAAAAGAATTTGAGCTAGCCCGGCTATGTCTATCTCCAGAAGACGTGACGATTCAAAACTACGTGACGTTACGGGATCGTAAAAAGGTAAGTCATTAGGCTATACTATTTGTCAATATAGAAATGCAAAAGTAAAATACTGATCATAGGCCTAATATTTGCAAATCAGACAGATTCCACCAATTCCGTTGAACAAACTTCCACCCGAGATCTCAACCAAAGTAAGGCGAACATTTTTATCCGAGTTATACTTCAAACAGGTGAACTCCTCATGCAATGTGTACATCATATCTGACAAAACAGGATTTGAATCTCTAGACTAATACTATAGGCTACGATTCTTGGTTGCTGACCAATGACTATAAGTTACCGGTACGGTACCTACTTTGTTTTGAGTTTAACATATAAGCTATGGCTTGTTAAAACCGTTTAACCACTTTACCTCCATTTTATTAAAGGAATCTATGAAAATAACTACGTCATACCCTACTTGTAAAAATCAAGTAATTACATGTTATAGGCTAACTACAATTAAAAACTAAACATCAATTATATTTTTCAATCGTCAAAAGAGATTATCGCTATAGAGACCTCATGCAAACACAATTAATTTGAGCAACACAAGGGTAACTCAGTCAGACTGGTTTCAAGGCCGATGTTTAAGCACAAAAGTCAGCGATTTGAACGGTTGGCTAAATTGTTCGGTGAAAGGCTTAAAAACTTAATTTACTTCATCGCCTCTTTCTGATGGCAATAAATGAATTAAAGTAAAATAACTTATGCACAAATGTTATTAAAAACTTTAAAAATCGAGGCAGGCCCTACAGTAAAATTAATAAATTTGAAAACAGAAGTAGGCCTAGGCCTACCGTAAACTTAACCTGGCTAGTAATTGAATTAAGTTATCGTCTTGATTTGTCATTTCAAACCAACTTGAAATTAATGGTCTACCTCCTTTGTTTCTTGAACAGACTCATGAGAGTTTAGTATAACTACGAGTCGATTAACTTATATAAAATCTAAGAAGTACCGGTGTAACGGACTCACCGTTTATACTTCTAATAATTAAATTCTAACCGACTGCTCAATGCGAAGTTCGAAGTGGCAATAGTTCACGGCTAACGAGGTCTACGGGTCTCACCGGTACGTAACTTAAGCTTAAGACTAAGTAATGATCCTTATTTCTGCTGGATTATTAAAGATTTCGTCGCTTAACTTAGGCCTAGCCTAAATTAGGCAGATCAACCTACAAGTTTAGAAGCAAGGGAATATCTCTTCATTCATAAGTTACAGCCAAAGTGTAGTGTAAATTATGGTGTAGGGCCTAGGCTTAAAGCAGGTGTTTAAAAAAATTTAGAAATTAGCATAGCCTGTACCTAGGCCTAGCCTAGCCCCATAAGCGTATCTTCACTCTTTTACCCCCAAAACCTTATAAAATACACAAAAATATCTCCTAAACCAGTAAGCAATGCGTTCACTTAAGAATACGATTAACGATCTTAAGTAAAAATGTTTAGGCTAACCTCTGACGATTAACCCTAAAGTTAGGTTATCGTTAACCCATGATCCAACCAAGATAACCTCAGAAATAGACATTTTCAACACAATTAAATAAGAGAATGTTTGTTGTTATCATTCAAACTAGTGATATATAAATTTATTAATGACATACAAGTTCGAACAAAGTATAATCAATCGTAAAAGTTACTCACCACGTGGTCGCCAAGTCAAAGTTACAAAACCGGTAAATTTAAGTTTTAAATGTTGAGATTTATTTAAACACGTCGACGCACTTGTGAATTTAACAAAGCAAACAAGTTCATACGGTGAAAATCCTCGGGTAAAACTAATATGAAATTAACGAAAAGCTCACAACGGAAATTCCACGAGGGCGTGCATCCCCAAACATAACTAACTGAACTACCCTTTCCCAAGCAGACTTGTATTGAGCGAGCGAAGCCATCACACAGCCAACCTAAAAAGTTTGTAAAACAAAAATGTATACTATATACAATATACATGCCGGTGTATCTTACCTGATTATTTTCTTACGACTTGCACTTCCAAGCGAAGTAATTGTCCAGTACAGAGAGCGCACTGCCGACACTAGCACAAAACTAAAGCCACTTTGACGAGCTACAGCTAAGTCCGTTCCCCACCCCATGATCGGCGCAACAGAGAGAGGGCCGAGGTCTCGCGTTGCCCAGGTAAGATGTGGAGGGGGAAACCGGTTGTAAGGTAAAAACCTACTCACATCGTCCAAGAGCAAAGGAATTCTTTCTTCCCCACTTCCTTCCCAGCTGCCCGTCTTGTCTTGGACAGTTGGCAGACGTGGTTTGGCAATAGATTGACAAAATAGGCTGTAAAGTAGAAACATGAAAAAATAGTAGGCAAACATGTCTGTGCATTTATATTTCTATTGATTGTTCTGGGCTACATGTTTCAAATGTAAACTTGTTTTGCTTTTTGCTATGTAACAATAATTTCGTTTCCTTTCGAAAAAAAATACCGCCATGTTTTAGGATGAATGTGGAGTTCAAATTGATTGTCAATGTTTTCCGTTTGTTACATACAATTAATGAATATTGAATGTAATTTGGCTAACCATTGAAACATGTTTAAAACTGTTAAGAAAATACAAATATTTATATAAAACAACGTTACTATCATTATGTGATGGTTGGTTGGTTGGTTAGTCTAATCTATTACGATACTGCAAAAGCATAAAAACTTGTTTATAAACAAATAGTTCTGTCCGGTTTAGGGAACTGAGGGTGGATTTGTTTATTATTTGTCCCCAGCCTGGTAAATACTTATTGTTTTATTAGAATTCATGTAGCCCCTGAAGTGTTTAATTTGACTAATATATGGTAAGGTAAATATATGTACCTACCTTTATATTTGACTTATTATTTTTAACAAAATGGAACGATCTAGCTATGAATAGCTTTTGTCCTCAAGCATTAAATTATTTAAATGCAAAGATATATAAAATTCAGACCAGCAAATAGGAGCATTTATCCTGCAAATAAAAGATACATTAATTTGACGACAGTGCACTTTTACGGCACCAACACGAATCGTCTGGATGCAGATTTGACTAAGAAATACTGTCATGATACCCCAGGTTAATTCATTCTACGATGAAACTATTTAAAAATGAAGGTAACTTAACTAATTTTTCAAATTTTGAATATAAAGCTTTGATTATAAGGTTTATTTGGATATAGTACATATAATATTATGAGAGTATTAGAATAGAGTGAAATTAGCGATAAGAAGTTTAGTTTCGTTGTAAAGCTAAATCAGCTGTTCATTTAGCCAGTTATTAAAAAACCAATGCAAAGAACAGCTGGTTCCAGAACCATTCGATTATTCGAAAATTAACCTTTTTGTGATTGAAAACATTCTACAAGGCAAAGAAGCTCTCAGCTACCAAGATAAAGACATTTCGCGTGAGTTTGTTGTTTTTGTAATAAAACTAAATGCTTAGGTTAGTGAACAATTTATCTTTTAAAGCCACTGCCTCTGGACTTAATCAGGAACGAACAGGCGACTTTTTAGTACATAGTTAGACGAGCTACAAACCCTTACTTAGGTATTGTTTCCGGCAAGTTTTTCTAAATAAACCAAATCCCATATTTTAGCACATGTAACGTATCTGTGTATGGTAACATTTAATAACTGTAACATTTCAATGAATTTCACCAGTTTAACCAACAAATCAGAACAAAAATTCGTCTGTTTTGGCGATTACGTTACAGGATGCGAAGCTTGTGCTGATGAAACTGAGGATGTGTTATCAGTTCTATCAGCACGATCAGCACTGCAGCATTCATGGAATACACAAGTCCAACTGCGGATGAGCGGTAGTTGATAAAGGCGACATTTTCGTGAAAATCTGTCTCATTCTGGAAATTATCGGACCACTTCCTGCGGTGGCGTCACATGATGTAAAGCTCGTGATGATGAGACTGATGATGTGGCATCAGTACTATAAGCTCAGCTCTGCAGCATTCATGGAAGACATAAGCGTCTGCTGATAGAAACGGTAGCTAACAAAGGCGACATTTTCGTATAATCCTTTCTCATCGTGGAAATTATTGGACCGTTTCCTGTGGTCTTCTAATATGCATAAATGTAACAACGGAAACTGAATATTGATACGTAATAGTAAGCTATGTAAGTAGTAAGTAGAACCAACAAATTAAATTAATTGTATAGGTAATTACATTCAGTACTGTATCTAATTTAATAACAACCTTATCGTAAATAACGCAAAACTGGAGTTCGGTGTTAGCACGATTAACGATTAAGTCCAAAAATAACATACTGTAATTGATTAAAAAGTAAGATAACTAATATTAATTTCACAAAGTATATTGTTCACATTAGTTTTGAAATGTATATCAGATTTTGATTCAACTTTCAATTTCTTTCTTAATTACATATGCATCATTTTCGTCCTAATTTAATTGGTTAAACTGTATCCTTCATTAACTTAAAATGATCAAAGACGATTACACTTTTCTTCTCGTAAATAATAGGTAATTTGTAGCCTTAAAACAGAAATAAATAGGTAAATTATTTTACATAATTGAATACTATTGTTTATCCTTTTGAGGCAAGCCCTAACACATTATAAACCAACTTGTATCTTAAGTGTACATAATAAAATAAACCCAAAAGACAAAAGTACCAAAGTATAAGCATCTCAATTAAATATCCGCATCTGAAAATTGTTTATGTTCCTCCAACAAAAAATCAAAATCTAATCCATTAACATTACATTGTAATGAGTTTTCATGCAGGCAAGTCCTGCAAAAGATAAGACAGAATTGTTAATTATGATAAAATCCAGTTTGGCGAGTTAAATATAATTTCGAATGCAAATCACGGAGTTAAATTTACATACGCGACGAGCCTGAAAAAAATTAAGGCTTCGGGCAAAAAGCGGATAAGAGTCATTATTGTTGTGCTTTTATGCTAAGTCTTATGGATAATCGCGACAGCAGGATCTATAAAACGTTTACTTGTACAAAATTGACAATGTTTACAATTAAATCAAACTGCTAAGTGTTGTAGGG